CTTTGAAAAAAAAACGATATCAATTATCCAACTTCCTCGTTGAAATACTTGAAATTGTACACATGGTAAAATAATGGTAATAATAATAGCAATTTGATAAATGCTATCATTATAATAAGAGAACGCATTATGTATTACAATAGATTTTAAATACTCTCCGAGTCATTCTGCTCGTTTCGCATGGAATTTTTATGCAACATGTTTCATTTGAAAATTTCGTTTTGATCATTAAATGCAAACAGCTTCATGTGTAATCTTACAAATGATTTCGTATCTTCGTAACTACATAATATTGAGATCCATCAAAAATCTAACCTATTCATTAGATACGTGACGGATCAATCCAGAAAGTCTTCTGTACGTAAAACGGGCTACGGTAGCACACACTTTCCTCAAAAGACAGAAGGCATTGGCTACGAGATTTCTTGAAATAAGTTTAACTCAAACAGCAATCAGGAGAGAACGACTTCAGAGCATATTCTATTCTCACGTTTCCACAGAATCCATGTGACGAAGTTAACGTGCACATAGACGTTTTAGTTCACTATTTCCCTTTAAAACTAATTCTATGCTATTCGAACATATAGTCGTAATTACTCCAGCAACAACAAAGAAAGGTACAGCCGTAAATTACTAAAGTAACTGGCAGCCATTTTGAAGTGCCACATTCCTACACCGACTTGACACTCTTTTTCGTAATTTACGATATGCACTAAGTTTGTGCGCGAAAAAACAAACAGTCCTTTCCAATTAATACGCAATACGTATTAACGTTCACATTAATGTTAACATATCGCCTCTCCATGGAAATGGAAAATGAATACAGAAATGGTTACGTTTTAAATAGATCGATTACTTCAAAAACTTAGTTTTATAACCATATGTTTCTTTCTCTTTTAAATAAGAATATCAATACATTACATTAGTTACTTCTCCTTTTCAACATTTAACAATTATTTTTTTACATCTTTAATTAACATTTAAATCTATTTAAGGTCAGAAGAAAGAGCAAAAGAGAAGAAGCGAAAGGAAGAGAGACAAATGGAGAGATAGAGAGAGAGAGAAAGAGTGAAAAGAATTAAAGTTATATTTTTCAGTTTCCATGTCTTTTGTTAAATACGTATTCCTTTATATATATAAAGGATAATAATATAATAGGATAATAATATAATAACTAATAATTTAATAGTTATATTCAAATGATAATACAATTTGTGCAAATAATTTTTCATTATTTTCAATTTCACTTTAATATTTACGACTAAATTATCATTCTTGTTAATTTTATCCTCTATATACTTCTATTAATAAACAAAAATGTCAAATTGACAAAATTATTTTGATTAATAGTTATCATAAATGTAATTGTAATCTATATAAATATTTAAATAATTATCGTTGTATCTAAATATTAATATGGAATAATTTTTTTAATTCTTTATATTTCCATAAATTTATCAAAACAACAATTTCTTTAAAATAATTGTATATTGATATTGAAATTAAAAAATTGCACAAATATAATATGCATACATATAAATATGTACAGTATAAACTGAGATTCGAATTATATATTATAAAATCTTTCTTATAATATTTCTACTTTGTCTATTGTTAATATTTTTACTTTTTAGTTTGCCTATACATACTTATTGTCTATTGTTAATATTTTTACATTAATACTTATTGCCTATTATTTGTTATTATTATTTTTGCTCTCTACTTATTATCTGTTACTTGCTATTATTATTATATTACTATTCAGTATCTTAGAACAAACGTTAAACAGAATGCTTCTGTATTTTATACAGATGTTTTAAAGTTTCTGTATTTTATACTAATTTTTTTATGCCTCTTAGGATCAACAAAAATCTAAAGTATTGAATTAAAAAAAAAATAAATAATTATAATTTTTAATAAAATTCGATCAATAATATTTAATCATAATATTTAATTATTTATGCCCTTTTTATGTTTGATGCCATTGCATGCGCGCGTGCACATGTAGCATGTGCTCTTTCAATTTTTTTTTCCTTATTGGTCGTTCTTTTTAGCAATTTCTTATTCAATTAAATCAAATCATGTATATAATATATATAATAAAATATTTATAGCTTCAGCATAACATACAAATGAACAAATTCATTGGAATCAACTTTAGGAATGTTGCTTTCTGTTGTAAAAGTGACATTTTTCTAATATATGTTATACTATATGTTGTAAAAGTGACATTTTTCTAATATATTTTCTAATATATGTTTCTAATATATGTTTTCTAATATATGTACGCTACATAATATATTATAACGTAGAATAACAATATTATATGCAATACATATATATTAGTCAATATATATTAGTCAAATATATATTCTAAATAAATGTAAAAAATTATTACATCGGCTTTGTTAGTTTGTGATGGCTTTCTTCCGTTGCTACTCCCGTGCAATTACATATATATATTGGAATCGATATTCATTACTATTATGCATGCATAAATAAACCGCAAATAATATTTTATATTTTATAGTTCAGTTCTACGTAGACACCACTGAATTTATATTGAAAATTGGGAACATTAGTATAAAAACATAATACAAGGAGATAACAGGAATAAAATTTCATGGTACAGCGTTGGTATAGAATAGACAGAATTTAAATTTGAACAACAGAAAGAAATAGTAATAAATAGTATAGCAAGTTAAAGATATAAAAGTTTATATAAAAGCTTGTCAAAAATTAAAAAAAAAATAAAACTACATTAAATATTATGGTAGCCCATATTATGTGTTTAACCTCTACAGGAGGAATTCCTTTGTTTTCTCGCCAAAAAGGAGAGGGAGATACGGTAAAATTTACGTGATTATAAACAAAAATGAAATATATTTTTTCTTTCTTTTATTTTTCACTTCTTTTTCACGATATTTAGATGACATTTTCCAAAATAGCATCTCTATATGGGATACACATGTTTCTTAAATCACAAAACATTAAACTTTTGAACACAAATTTACCCGATACCACGATAATGTGGAAAGAATTTGAACAAAGTATTACGTTAATAGTTATTGCAAGTGGGACTACCAAATCTGTATTAGATAAATTTCTAAATGCAGTTTTTGGCGCAATGATTCTATTTGTTGGTATAGAGGAATTGAAAAGCACGAAAAACATTGAGAAGTTGAAGAAAGATATGCGCTTATGTAGTCCCATTGTTGATAATTTATTGCAATGTCTTGATGTTGGTGATGGCATTTGTTCAAAAACTGATATCATCAATATGACAGAATGTATAATGTGCCAAGAAAATAATTTATTTCAGGTAATTGGATTTTTTTTTTTTAATTAGTAAACCTTTTATATATTAAATAATAATCTATTCAAGACATGCTTAGAGGGTTATATGGAATGTTTGGATTCTATATATGGATGCATCTTAATACATGGATGTTTAGCAGCAGCTACAGAAGGATGGTGGAATTTAAGTCCCATTGAAAGAAAATTATTAATAACTGCCGTTAATACAGAAGATACCTACAGCACCAGAGACATTCCAGTATTTTTACCTTATAAAAGTCCAAACGTGAGTATTTTTGAAGTTTTTGAAGCATAAGTTTTATTTCTTAATATGTTTAGTATTAAAATTTATTTAAAGATTTAGTATAAAATTTATTTAAAGAAACAAGTACAATTGATCATATAGGTAGCTTTTAGATTAGTATCCATTACATTGATCAATCAAGTCGAAGTATTAGCTTTATGTGGACCAAATCCAGATTTATTAGAAATTGAAAGATTTGCTGTACAATGTTGGAAAAATAGCATTGATGCTTTACACAGTGCAAAACAATGTTATCCGCGAAATTTGCCTGCATCTATAAATTTAGATTCAGAAACACTTGGGTAATACATTTAACATAAATAACTTTATTTTGAAAAATTTATTATTATATTATGTTTTTTTTCTTGTAAACTTAGGTTCCTTTTAGCAAATTACAAAGTACAAAAATTTATACTTGGAAAAAATATGCAGTATGCAAAAAACAGAGTCAGTGGTTCACACAGATTAGATATATTAAGAACTTTCTATCATCAAGCTGTTGAGACTTATGTTTTATCTTCAGACTCTGAATGTAATACGACAGATGATAATTGGAAATTTATTGGTGTAAAAGAAACTTATTTATGTTCAGAGTACCATAAATGTTATGCAGTTAAATATGGAGATCATATACTTTGCATTTTATGTGCCTCTACAGTCCCTACTCATACAGTGAGATTAGTTTGTCAAAAAATATTGAAGACATTACTCATTGATAAACAAGGCTGTTGGTAAAAATTTGTCAATTATAAAAACATATCAATCTCTCTTTGTGATATTCTATTTTAGCTTTTTTGTCACTTTTGTATTAGCCTAGTTATATATTTTGATATTATTTTTATTACATTTAAAGAAGATACTTAGTGAAATAGATTAATTAATTGTAAACTAATATCTAAATAAAATTAAATATGTTACATTATGTATAAAATTATTAATTATTTTAATTTAAAAATTAAGTTATTATTATTCATTGGTATCTTTAATTCATAATGTATACTATTATATAATATATTCCACTAACAAATTAAAAAAAATATATAAGAGATAATCCTATAACGATACAATTAAGAAAAAAGTAAGAGAACGATTCTATAACGACACATATTAAATATAAACTTTTTTGATATTGCTATTTGTAATTTGAAATTTTTGCATTTGTATTCATGAAATATGTTGCACGCGCACGCGCGCGTATTGATTTATCCATAGAATATATGACCGTAGATGACGTATATATAATATAGAGAATATAACTACGTTAAGATATGTTGAATAAATATTTCGTTTTTTGTAACGCATTTATAGTATTATGAAGCATAACATTTTTGTATATTACTGGTACATAATTGGCGAATGGACTTTTAATAAATGGTTTCATTAAAACTAAAATTTAAATATGAGCAGAATAACAAAAATTGCAGTTAATGCACAGTTATACAATGTAACAAATTTTTACATAGGTTTAGGTTTGGCAATTAGTTCCAGCGGTTTTATAGGTTAGTAGACTAATACTAATTTTTAATAAAAATTTATTTAAAATAATTTAATACTGATTATTATGCGATGTTGCAATCATTTAGGTGCTAGCTTTATCATTAAAAAAAAAGCATTGATTCGATTACAAAGACGTGGCGCATTAAGAGCTTCATCTGGAGGATTTGGATATTTAAAAGAATGGATGTGGTGGACTGGTCTTCTTTCAAGTATGTAAAACAAAAGATACATATATCCAAGATATAATACTTTCACTAAAAAAAAAAAAAAAAAAAAA